AGTGGCTGGTGGGTTTGAACCGCCAGCCTTCTGGTTAGCAGTCAAGTGCCTTAGCCACTATGCTACCAGAGCTCCCAAAGTAGGATGTAGAACAATGTTTTTGTGTAGTATGTTATGCCAGTTGAGCTTGATGTTCCCTGCAACCATGGTTCTGAGCCCACAGCTCTAACTATTCACTCTCTCAGGGTGGTTGGCTGTAGCTAAGAAGTCATCATAACTTTGCCCCTTGTTAACTCTATTATGTATATGGACATTCTTATTGCATGTGCAAATATGTATGTAGAAATACCATCTGCCAACCTTATATATGGTCATGGGTATATTCCCTTTTGCCTAGACATACCTGATCATTCAGCCTGTCCACCCATCTATTTACCCATAGGTTAATGTTTGTTATCATTGGTAGCACAGTACTATATATGTAAAAGGGTTTATTTTTGTTGTTTGTACCTCTTGTGCACCTCTCTGTGTCTTCATTTTTCTTAGTTTTATTGTGTCAGTCTCTCAATTTTGGTATCTTGCCTTTCCCTTCAGCCAAATCAGTACTTGCCTCTACCTATCTAGCAGTGTTCCCTCCCCTCCCCTCCCATCCCTGGTAACCAACAAAGAAAGTTTCCTTCCATATGTAAACTTTTCCTTGACTTTTTACAATAGTGAATTAATGTAGTTTACCCTTCTGTGATTGAGTTATTTCACTCAGCAGAATGTCCTCCAAGTTCATCCACATTATGTGGTATTTCACAGATTCTACATTATTCTTTAGTGTTCCATTGTGTGTATGTACCATAGTTTGGTTATCCATTCTTCTGTTGATGGGCACTTACATTGTTTCCATCTCTTTGGTATTGCAAATAATGCTGCAATGAACATGGGTGTGCATATATCTCTATGTGTCCTGACTCTCACTTCTTTAGGATATATACCACGCAACAGGATTGCTGGATCAAATGGTATTTCTAATTCCAACTTTTTAAGGAATCGCCCTACTAATTTCCACAGTGATTGTATCATTTTACAGTTCCATCAGCAGTGTATGAGAGTCCCAATCTCTCCATATCCTTGCCAGCATTTGTTATTTTCTGTGTCGCTGAACTTTGCTATTAGTGCTGAAGTGAGATGGTATCTCATTGTTGTTTTCATTTGCATTTTTCTAATGGTAATGATTGCAACCATTTCTTTATGTGTTTCTTGGCCACCTGAATATCTTCTTTGTGAAGTGTCTGTTCATGTCTTCTGCCCATTTTTGAATTGGATTGTTTGTCTTTTTGATGTCGAGGTGTTGGAGTTTCTATAAAATTTAGAGATAAGTCCCTTGTCAAATATGTCATTGCTGAATATTTTCCCAAAATCTGTAGATTCTCTTTTTACTCTTTTGGAGAAGTCTTTAGAAGCTCATAAAAATTTAATTTTTAGAAGGTCCCAATCATCTAGTTTATCTTCTGCTGTGTGCACATTTTAGATTATCAACTTAGAATTTTTTTTTTTAAATTTTTATTGTGATTTGGGTGAAACTTTACAGAGCAAATTCAGTTTCCATACAGAATTTCACATACACTTTGTCTCATGACATTGACTGCAATTTCCCACAATGCAACAGCTCCCCTCCCATGTCCTCCCCATAGTTGCCTCCCTTTGTCCTTCCCTCCCATGCACTCTTGCCCCCCTGAGGTGTTTCTCTGTGCATACACAGCCCTTCCATTCTCCCATGATTGATCTCTCCAAGGAATGTATCTACCTAATGTGAATGTCCAGCTCATATGCCTGTCTTTTGTTTGGCTAGAAGCCACAGAAATGGGTTCAATTCCAGACCTCAAGGGCAACTAGTCTCAGGGGTTTCATCAGGCTCTATCAGACCAGCAAACCTGGTCCTTTTTTTATGATTTTGAGTTTTGTTCCACTTTGTTTTCTTACTCTATCCAGGATCTCCTACAGAGATCCCCCTTCGAGTGGTTGACAGTGGTACCTGGGCACCATCTAGTTCTGGTCTCATAGTCGTATAGGCCGAGGATCTCATGGTGTACCAGTCCCTTGGACTAATGGTTTCCACGCATTTTTGGTTTTCTTCATTCTTCTTTGCTCTGGATGAGAAGAGACCCATTGTTGCATCTAGGGCAGCTTTTAAGATCCCAGTCACTACTTGCCAAAGTAGGAAGTGGACAATGTTTTTGTGTAGTATGTTATGCCAATTGAGCTTGCTGTCCCCTGCGACCATGGTCCCAAGCCCACAGGTCCAACTACTTGCTCCCTCTGGGTAGCTGGCTGTGGCCAAGAAGTGACTACAACCTTCTTCGTAACTTAGCAAGTTTCTTGATGAGATAAATATTTCAGTCATATACCTCAGTAAGACATTTTTAACAACTTAAGGGTCCATCAATGGATGAATGGATAAACAAACTGTGGTACATATACACAATGGAATACTATGCAACATTAAAGAATAAGGAAGAATTTGTGAAACACTTCATAACATGGATGAACTTGGAGGACATTATGCTGAGTGAAATAAGTTAATCACAGAGAAACAAATATTATATGAGTCCACTATTATAAACAGTCAAAGAATGGTTTATACAAAGAAAGAAAAATTCTTTGATGGTTACCAGGGATGGGAGGGGAGGGAAGGAAAAATTTTTAGCTAGGTGACAGACACATACGATTTGAGTGAAGAAAAAGGCAATATACCAAAAGTAGGTGAGCAGCACAATATCATTAAGGAAAAGAAACACACAGAGAAGTGCACAAGAGGTACAAACAACAGAGATAAACACTATTGCATACATAATACTGCATTATCAGTAATAACAAACCTTAAGTTATGAGTGGATACATAGGTAGACAGGCAAGATGATCAGGTATGAGTAGGTGAACAGTACTATACCCATAACCATATATAGGTTTGGCTGACAATATCTCTACATACCTATTTGTATCTGCTATAAAAATGTCCGTATATGCAATAGAACTAACATCTAACAGGGGGCAAAATTATAACTTCTTACCACAACCAAACACCTTGAGGGAGTCAGTTGCTTGGCCTGGGCTTGGGACTATAGTCACTGGGGACATCAGGCTCAACTGGCATAACATGTTGTTGTTAGGTGTCATCAAGGTGTCTCTGACTCAGCAACCCTATGTACAACAGAACAAAACACTCCCCAGTCCTGCACCATCCTCATAATCCTTGGTGTACTTAAGCCCATTGTTGCAGCCACTGTGTCAATCCTTCTTGTTGAGGGCCTTCCCCTTTTTCACTGACCCTCCACTTTACCAAACATGATATCCTCCTTTAGGGAATGGTCTTTTCTGACAACATGACCAAAGTAGGTGAGATGAAGTCTAGCCATTCTTGCTTCCAAGGAGAATTCTGCTGCACTTATTCCAGGACAGATTTGTTCATTCTTCTGGCAGCCTATGGTACTTTCAGTATTCTTTGCCAACATCATATGTTATACACTTAGTGGCCATCTAAGATGCAACTATTGATCTCTCCTCATTTGGAGCAAAGAAGAGTGAAGAAAATCAAAGACACATGGAAACAATTAATCCAAAGGACTAGTGGACCGGGAGAATCTCAGCCTACACAACCCTGAGACAGAAGAATTAGATGGTACTTGGCTACCACTACCATTGCCAACCATTCTGAAATGGGTTTAAAGTGGAGATCCTGGATAGAATGGGAGAAAAATGTGGAGCAAAACTCAAAAATCATAAAAAAGACCAAGATTACTGTAGGTACACTCCTTAGAACAGCAACCATAGGAGATGAAAAAGACAGTATTTGTGCATGGATAAAGCTCAGAAGGGAGAAGAAATACATAATATGAAAGAGGGATACAGGGAAAAGGTAACAATAGGGAGGATGTGGGAAGAGAGCTGTTGCCTTGTGGGAATTGCTGTCATTGCCACAAAACACAATGTGTCTGAACTGTTGAATGGAAAATGAATTTGCTCTAAACTTTCATTCAAGTCACAATAGAAAGGTTTTTATTTTAAAAAAAATTTCTTTTAACAAATCTCATTTTTTCCTCATTTTTTTGCATGCAACTGTATTATTTATGAATAGTAAACTAGATTTTTAATTAAACTTGTTTTTTTTGTGATTTGTTTAGGACTGACTTCATCAGTGTTTATAGACTCAGAAAAACGTCAAATATGGATAATGAATCTAGACATCATCTCATCTCTGAGGTAGATCATGAAGTAAGTGCTGGCCCTATGAATATCCAGTTTGATTCTTCAGATCTAAGATCTAAAAGGTAAGTGTTTAAAATAAAATGCTTATTTCATAATTAGGATTTCTAATGATTAAAATAGGCCTAATTGTAACTAAACATATAGATCTGATTGTAAAATGCGTAGTTTCCATTGGATTTGTATATAAATGTGTGTGTGGAGGAAGGAATATATATGAATACCATTTCCTCATTCATGTTTGACTTTTTTTTCACTGAACTTAACATCTCTGTGGGGTAAGGAGTTAGGGTCAGTTTTAGGAAGTAAAATGCATTCATGTAATTCGTTTAGCAAATATGTATTGATTATCTGTTTTGTGCAAGGTAACATGGTAGGTGCTGGGATAGAACAGAAGTAATAGATGCGAACTTTACCTTCATTAGGCTTCTATCTAGCAGATGGTTTAAGATAATTTAAGTTTAAATTTTATTTTATTGCATACATGGAAAATCCCAAAGAATCTGTTCAAAAGTTATTATAAATAGTAAGTGAATTCAATAAAGTGGCTGCTCACAAATAGGCAAAAATAACCTTCCATTGAGAAAATGTAATGAAAAAAAAAGATTAAATACAGAGAAATAACCTCACCAAGAATGTGCAAACTCTATAAGAGAAAATTGTAGGTGTTCCTTAGAGATATAAAATAAGATTATTTCATAAAATCTGTGATGATACTGATTAAAAGTTACACTGTTTTTTTTTTTTAAATCTAGCACCAAGAAAGAAAAACTTCTGCCAATGCCTCTCATGCAGTAATATTTATGACTTGGAGTTTTAATATCATAATTAACAAGAGAACTTTTGGACTTATTTGAGATTTTATCACATATCTCTTGTGCAATTATAAAAATGAAAATACAAATACAAAGTATATTTATTGGTTAAGATATTGCTAACACGTCACATTCACAGTCAGATATTTCTGGACTGCTTTTTGAGTTGGAGTCATCAAAATCAGTGTTTTTCCTACACAAAATCATCCTTGTGCCATTGATGATGTAGCATTTCTTGAAAAGATTTTCTTCCAAATCATTCTTTAATGCTTGCACTTCACTATTCTTACCAGAAGGTGTCGCCGAAGGTTTTCCAACAACAACATGACTACTTCAAATGGTTCTAAAATGATTTGATGACTGCAATGACCAGGAATAGCAGTTACCTGTCATGCAATCAGGAATAACAACCAAGTTTACACATACACAACCCATGATAACTACTATCATAACTAATACCTGGCTGGTGGTGATTGAAAGATGTCCTGGATTTTAAAATACATTTTTATTTAAAAAATGTTTAAGTGTATATTTTAAAATCAGTAAAATATAACATACAATGAAAAGACCTTCTTCTTTTGGTGACAAGACTCAAAAACAAAGGTGTCATTCTCCTGAATTTTTAGTCTAAATTTAATGTGATCCTGGCCCCAAAATTCTAGCAGACAATGCCAAATATTATATGACCCAGCAGTTTACTTTTAAGCATTATTTTGCAATGTTAAATAATATATGTACAAGTTCAGTGCAGTAGTTTTTATAATTGCAGAAGATTGAAAACAACCAAAACGTCTATTTTTACAGGAGTGGATAAATAAATTATGGTACATGTGTATGATGGAATATTTTTCACCCATTTACCATTGCATAAAAAAAGGAAGTAAGTCTTGGACTTAATTTGTTAAGTGAAAAAAGTGAAATGCAGAGGATGCCACCAATTGGGGAAAAAATGAATCAATAGATTATACATAATTTGTTGTTGTTGTTATGTGCCATCGAGTTGGACCCGACTCATAGCTACCCCTCCTTGGGTTTCTGAGGCAGTATCATTACAGATATAGATTGCCCAACGTTCCTTCCGAGGAGTGGCTGGTGGGTTTGATATATACAAACTAACGCTGGGGAAATAAATAGGAAACTATAATGATGGTGGCCTCCTTAGGGAGAAACTGAGTACTTGATATGGGACGGTGTGATCGATAGTATTAGCTAAATACCCAACAACTCTTCAGTGACTCCACCAATTCCTTGCCAACAGAATCCTAATTTTGTTTAGGATTACAGTGAGTCCTAATCCAGATGATGAAGAAGGGTTGGTTTAAACTAGTTGTTATAATTCTGTTTCCGTTTTCTAGGTACTTAATATTTAGTCTTTCTTGTAGCTAGAGGTGCTGTTATGAAATTTGTTGCCTGAGAAATTTATCATTGTTATTTATAGTTACTATCAGAGAAGATAATAAAACAACTCTTGTAATTTTCACTTGTATATTCCACCATAAGTGAATATAGGAACTCCCAAATGCTGATTGAATGCTCAGAGTTTTCTTTTTATTTATTTATTTATTGTGATTTGGGTGAAGATTTACAGAGCAAATTCACTTTCCATACAGCAGTTCACATATACTTTGTCTCAGGTCATTGACCACAGTTTACCAC